TAGGGGACTGCGCGGACATTACGGCATGCTGGAGATGTGTGGTCGTTGTCCTCTAATTTATTAAAATTTGCTTAAAATGCTAGCAATTTTAACTGGCCGATTTTTGCATGAATGCCAATTAACATTTTATCAGTCCTTACCATTCCATATGTGTTTTTTGTTGTTACTTGGTTTTTTTCTTGTAGATTCCTGCGCGTCCAATATGCACGGAGACATCGGCAGTGAATCAGCGGCCTTCGGGCAGACAAGTTCACCGGAAACCGGTAAGTCTTTCACATGTTCTTTTCAAGTATTAGCACTGATTCTCGAAGCCAGAGTGTCTTTTGCAAAAGTTACAGCTGCTGAGCTGAGTTTGATTGGTGCGGGTCAAATTCTCAGGCTCAAAATACTGGTTCGATTCAGCTGCTGCAGTATTAATTACTGAAATTTCTAAATTACTGGACAATTTTTGCCTTACCTTAATCTTTACCTAAAAATTACTGAACAATTTCGATAGTAAATTGCTACTGAAGTGTTTAGCAAATGCTTCTGGCTTACCTTTCATGCATCTCTTGATTTTCAATAATCGTGTCAACTGGGGCCCAATTCTGACAAAATGCTTTCTAATTCGGTATCGATCCTGATTGTTTTTATTTGGCAATTACTAAAACTCGGCTCGGCTCCTGGTAACATTACTAATATCGGGCCCGCACTGTGGTTGTCTGAGTTATCCTTTTTTTTCCGAGTGCTCGGGATTTACGTTTTCTACCTACTTTTCGAATTTCACAATATTTTTATTCGTTCAGCAAAAAACTGACCTAATTGCTGTTTTTTTTTTCAAAATTTTAATTTTACTACAATTAAACAACCCTGCATACCGTACCATCTCCGGATACGATATTTTACAAACCTTACCCGTGATACTGTTAAATTTTGCTTCATACATCAAGAAATTTCACCATCAAAAATGTCCTTCTGTTAACTTTCATTTTGGATGTTGTCTAATTTGTAAATGGTAATTTTTATAAGATTAAATCGGTTGACAAGAATAGCTGGAGCGCCGGAACAACTGGTCTGGGAGCCCAACATTGGTGATATCATCAAGATACTCCCACATGTCGAACACAGCTCTGCCAGGTTCTTCGATTCTGGCTAACAAACTTCCAGTTAATATTCACTTTCTGTTCACTACATGTAGCCAACATCTTTGGAGATCGCCCGAGCGGTCGTTACTTTTTCACTGATACCTCTGGCTGTTACACAGCCTCCACCCATTGTAACATTTCCTGCCCATCGGATTTTACTTTCTTGCGCGATCACAGTGACACCTTACTTGCACCCCACTTACCCGATGAAGACGAATAAAAAAATAAATTCAGAAAATTGAGCTAAAAAAGAGCTGGAAAAAATATAAGTTCAGAAAATGCCATTTGAATTGCTTGAAAATGGTCGCAAAGTGAGCATCTGCTTTCTCTGTCACAGCCAGCGTTCGTTCTTCTGCAAAAAAATAAATTCAGAAAATTGGGCTAAAAAAAGAGCTGATAAAAAAAATATAAATTCAGAAAATGCCATTTGAAATGCGTTTG